GTAGGAATGATCGACTCATGGTCCTGACAAAGTGTTGTTATTTTTCAGGTCAATCAGAAATCCAATATGGCCACCACAGCCGCTATTTTGTAAATACCTATTCTAAACTTAAAAACAATTTCTAATAGGCCGATCTTATTTAAAATCGGTCTAGGAATGATCAGCTCATGGTCCTGACAAAGTTAAGTTAACATTATACTTAACTACTTTTTACTCAAATTGGTACATATTTCAACAACAAAAATAAATACTGTAGGACTCAGGTGACCGTTAAGGCCCATGGGCCTCATGTATAAATCATTACAGTGTAATAGCTAGCGGGGGCCGGTAGGGGACATGTATTGCTTTAGCAATACTCAGTATGCTTGTTTATTTCATTTTCCAGTTTATTCAAATAAATAGTACGTTGTAATACTATTTTTTTTTTAAACCACATTGATTCTTTAAAATATCATTTGATCCCTTATACAGCTGTAAGGTACAAATAAATACTTACAGATTTGGTTATTCAGCAAATGACTAAGATATATATACTTATTAGGGTGTTGTTAAATTTTAACTAATTTAGATAAATTTCTACCTGATTGTAATGTTCCAAAATTAAACAATGTAGAATCTTTATCTTTAGAAGGTAATATAACTTTACTGAAGCGTCACATACTTTAAAACGCATGAAAAATAATAAAAGCTCCGGGTCTGACGGATTTACAGTAGAATTTTTTAAGTGTTTTTGGAAACAACTAGGTAAATTTGTTTTAAGATCTATTAATTATGCATATATAAATGGAAACTTATCTATAACTCAAAAACAAGGAATTATTACATGTATACCAAAAGGTGATAAACCAAGGCAATTTCTTAAAAATTGGAGACCTATTTGTCTTTTGAATATTGTTTACAAAATTGCATCTGGCTCAATAGCTTCTAGATTAAAAACTATTTTAGATAAATTAATTAACACTGACCAGACAGGATTTATTGCAGGCAGATTTTTAGGGGAAAATACACGATTAATTTACGATATAATGCAGTATACAGAGGACAATGATATAGATGGGATGCTTTTGATTGTTGATTTTGAAAAGGCATTTGATTCTGTTAGTTGGGAGTTTATTGAAAATGTATTTAAATATTTTAATTTTGGTGAGGATATTAGAAGTTGGATAAAAACACTACATAAAAATTCTATGTCTGCAATTAATCAAGGTGGTAATCTCTCATCTTTTTTTGAAATTAAGAGGGGTTGCCGTCAAGGTGATCCGATAGCTCCATACATTTTTATTTTGTGTTCAGAAATACTTGCAATTAGACTTAAAATAATAATTATATTAGGGGTATAAATATAGACAACTCTCCACTACTTCTCTCACAATATGCAGATGATACCTCTTTCATTTTAGATGGAACGAAACAATCATTAAAAGAATCAATAAAAGAGCTTAATTTATCTGCAAAAATTTCTGTTCTTAAATAAATAAAAGTAAAACACAAGTTATATGGATAGGCAGTAAAAAGTACAGTGATGAGATATATTATCCGGAATGGAACCTGCAATGGGGAAGTCAAAAATTTATGGTATTAGGTATAGAATTTCATATAGATTTACATCAAATCCCTAAATTAAACTATGATAAAAGATTAGTGAAACTTAAGTCAATGATTAAGAATTGGAGTAGACGAATATTAACACCAATAGGAAGAATACAAATAATTAAATCATTATTAATATCCCAATTTGATCATCTATTTATCCCCTTACCAAATCCAGATGAAAATTTTATTAAAAAATTAAATTCAGAAAGTTTTAAATTTCTTATGGAAAAGTAAAGTAGATAAAACAAAACGGGAAATAACCATCAAAAGCTATCAGGA